TTTCAGGAAGTAGACATGGATGATGTAGAGAAACCCAAAATTCCCTGGCCTTTGTCCTGATACTGAACTTAAACTGGTAGGGCTTGGCTCAGAGGAGCCTTGGCCTGCCTGGACCTATTTGTACAGACATGGACTTTGATAAACTTAACAGATTACAGAAGACCTGAGTTCAAGTGAGCCAAAAAAAAAAAAAGTGTTCTTGTGCAAGTGTAATTTTCACAGTAGTTATATTTTGATGTCCTTAATTGAGTTCTATAGCTTATTATTTTATATAATATTTAAGGCCTTGTTGCATGGCACAAACTGACAAGAAACAGAGAATCCTTGCAACAAAATCTCACAGTCTGAGAGATACGACAGAAGCAGAAAAACATTACTCCATTTTGAAAATTCCATTTTACAAATAAATACATAAATAAAAGCAGTCACCTCTGCCCAAAAACACAGAGAGAACATACTAAGTTATTATTTTGCATAAATTATATTCTCATTTGGGACTGCAGATGGTTTATCTATCAGTCAACAACAACAACAAATCAAACAAAGCACAAATCAAGTCTTTGGGCTCACAGGAAATAGCAGGAAAAAAATAAAACTGGAAATTGTTTGGAAACTGGTGCCAAATGCATAGATGGCATATACCACTTAACCATTTGACCTGCAGCAAGGCCAATCATCTAAGACTGAATCCAGATGAAACAAGGAATTTGTTTGGTAGAGCACCAATTTTTTTTTAAATAAAATTAAAAAATAATTTATTTTTATCAGTGACCTGGGGGCACAGCATATTTTTAATCCTTCCATTTTCTTCTTCATTAGCAATGTAACCACAGAAATTACATATTCCATCATAAAGATCCAATCTACAGATCTCACTACAACTTCATGACTGTAATGTTGAATCCTAGGAAGAAAGATAACATAGCTTTAAATATTGTCACAAAGCTGGCAGTCAGGACACAAGGTGGTAGCTGTCTTCACTAGCCTCAAGGACTTATGATAGGATTACCTGGAAGCTTGCATTTTTACCAGTAAGCTTTACCAGTAAGCATACTTCTGAAATCAGGAAAGCAATCTCCAGCGCTGGACAACTTCCTTATAAACAGAAGCAGGCAAACACAAAAGGACAGGGGTTACTCTGTGCTCTACTGCCTCACCCAAACAAATACACAGTATAGCTGGCAGAGACAAGTATATTGCTCTTCCAGGATCACACCCAACATCCGGATGACTTTGGTAGAGATTTTCATTTCTGTGATTAATAGCAGGACACACAAGGAAGTGTTCTATGTTTTAAGTCAGTAGAGTTTGTATTATAATTTTATTTGAAAATAAAGGCTTGCTAGACATTCCCATGACTAACAGGCTTTTGCCCATGAGGCCTTCCCTTCAGCATTCAGACTGCAGTCTGAGAGGTGTTCCTAACACAGCCTCCTCTACACAGAAATATATTTCTCTATTTATCCCAAAAGTCTAAGTCCATTCCATACAACAAAGAACAACTGGGACGTAAATTGATGCGTTTTTATCTCTATGGAGCAGCTCTACCTCTGAGAAATCAGCTCTATTGCAGCCTTTCTTTCCCACCACCTCTACGTTTAGCTCTATTTTCTGTCTTTGGGAGACAAAGATGTGCTGAAGTCACTGCCACTGCAGAGCGGCCCCAAGATGCTCTCACGCTGGCAGAGGAACCACAAGAGACAGACAGACCTTTGCTCGCGCTGCCCCCCAGCCCCGGCATCAAGGCGCGATCGGCACCTCCTGCCGCGGAGGCCAGTGCAGCCTCCCGTGCCGCCCCCCCGGCCCACCCCGTGCGGGGCATTACAGACACGGGCCCGGGCTGTGGGCACAAGCGGCGCGGCGACCACGGCACAGCGCAGCCTCAAAGGGGCCGGGGAAGGGGAGAGCCGCCGAGCTCCTGCCACCCGGGCTCCTCGCAGCCCTGCTGGCTGCCAGCATCTCCCACGGCGGCCAGGCCAGCTCCCACATAGACGACGGTCCGGCGCCGCGGAAGCGGGCGGCAGAGCCGGCGCGGGACGGGCGCGACGGGAAGCTGCGGGAAACGAGGACTGCGGGAAACGAAGGCTGCGCGGACTAACCTGCCGCGCCAGCGCCGCGCGCCCCCTGAGCCCCGCCACGACAGCAGCCACCTCAGCAGCGGAACACGCTGCCGCCACTTCCGCCCTCAGCAAGAGCCCACCTCCTTTCGGGGAGATCCAATCAGCTGCAGCGCCGAAGAGATAGACGTGGCGATAGACGTGGCGATAGACGTGGCGATAGACGCGGCAGCAGTCCCGGCGCCGCTGTTACACTACCACAGGGCACGAAATCAGGAATCGCCTATAGGGCTTTGGGACCCGCCCAATAACATGGAAGCAGCCAATCAACAAAGGTTCCAAGCAGCCAATCAGCAAAGGTTAGGTTCCCCAGCAACCTTGAGGGCGGGTCTTGAGACCGTGGCTGGGTCAGCCTCACACCTAGTCCCGCCCCCGCTAGGATGGCCCCATCTCCAGCTGGATGGCTCCGCCCCCACAAGGATGGTCCCGCCTCCATATGGATAGCCCCGCCCTCAGGACGTCCCGCCCCACTGCGCCCTCCGACTCCTTGAAAGCTATTTTTTATTTCAGATGAAGACGTGTGGTTTGAGGATCAGAAGTTTCATGCAGCTATTCACATGCAGCATCCAATGTAGAACCCGAATAACTTGTACTTTGCGGCAAGGTGTGGACATATCAAGAATTCACTGTACCATGCCACATATTCTAGACCAAACTAGCAGATGTTTCTGTCTGACTCCTGATGAAAACATCCCTGACTTTAGCTTTTATGTGTTATTCTCTATTGCTGGTTTTATTTGTTTAAAGAGACTAGTTTGCTTCTGAACACATAAGAAAAACACATGTAACTGTTGGAGCAAGTCCAACAAAAGGCCACAAAGATGATGAACATGCTGGAGCATCAGTCACATGAGGAAAGGCTGAGGGCTCAGACTGTTTAATCCAGAGAAGAGAGGGCTCGGGAGGGGGATTTTATCTATGTGCATTAATATCTGCAAGGGGAGTGTAGAGACAGTGGAACCAGGCTCTTTCAGCGACGCCCAGTGATGGGATGAGAAGCAATGGGCTCTCACTGAAACACAAACAGTTCATCTGCACATGTGAAAACACTTTCCCCCTCTCCCTGCACTGTGAGGGTGACAGAGCACTGGTTGTCCAGAGAGGCTGTGGAGTCTCCTCCATCCTTGGAGTTATTCAAAATATGCCTGAAAGCGGCAACCTACTCCAAGGGCCCTACCTAATCAGGGGAATTGGACTAGATTAGCTCCAGAGGTTCCTGCCAACCTCAACCCTCCTGAGTGGTTCTGTGATAGATGTATGGCCAGCCACACAGAACAACACGCAGAGAAACACCCAGCGCTGGTGGCACTGAAAGCCTCATTTTTGTTCCCTTTCTGGCTATTCAGACCAAATGTTGTAAGGAGGAAATACATGGACATACAACATGGATCCCCCCTGCAGAGGGCTTGGACACTTGGCCTGTGCAGTACCAGCCCTTGGATTCTTGGTCTCCCAGGCTGCTGGCTCCAAAACTGCAAGCTCTGAAGCCAACAGCCCCTCCCCATTTGCTGCTGCAGATCCTCTTGTAAACACCAACATGCACACTATGGATCCCTCCAGTAACTGTGATTAGATTGTCAGTCTGTCGAGCTACTGGCTGTGGATCCTTGCTCTCTCCAGCTGCCTCCTTCAGTGCACACAAACAGATTTGTCAGTTGACCCCCAGACCTTACCGCCTCTGCAGCAGCCAACTGAGATCCTCTGGTCCCTCCAGCAGCCAACTCTTCCAGTTGTTTCACTCCCAGACACACAAACACACCCGACTCCCAAGGCACACCCATTGCCAGACTCTTTGGTTCATGTTTGCTGGAGATCACACGCTGACATGACCACTCACTCCCTCCAGCTGCTGTGGACACAAAGGCCCATGTTACCCACAGTCCCACTGCCACTGCTCCTACTCAGACCTCCATACAGAATACACACATACATAACAGAGAGCTCTTCAGAAATTAGTTAGGAATGGAGTTTGAGGAGAAGAAAGGATAGACTGCACTATTTAGATGCACACACACACACACACACACACACACACACACGTACTGACCAGCGACCTATTTACATGTGAATAGTCCCTTTTTATCACTTTATCCCTCTCTTTTCCCATGTTTATTACTACCAAAACCACTGTGATCCCTCCCTTTCCCCTGGAGATCATTTTCTCCTGGGGGATTCAAGGCAGAGGGCCCTTTCTCCGGCTGGGTTACTGGGGCTCTCCCATCAGCCCATGTGTCCTTGTGCATGTGGAGATGAGCCTCTCATGGGCAGATGGCTCTGCTGTGGTAGGCCTGCAAGTAGCCGAGGGGGATGTTGCTCAGTTTTCCCACCTGTCTTTGTTCCTCTGTGCTCGGGGAGACAAGCTTTTTATGGCATAAATTAATATCATGTGTAATTTCTGTGATATGGTCTGGTCCTAGACTCGCAAAATAGTCTCTACCTGAGAAGACAGATGCTCAAATACAATTAGAGGAGTAGAACATAATTTTACTCCACCTTAAATCCCACAGCATGTAGCCTTTTCCCCTCATCTTCATACCTAATTATATCTAAGTTAAAAATAGAGTAATGTGTAAAACCAGTATAGTTCTTGATGCCAGCATCTGATTAACCTTTCTGATTTGGCTCCTGAAATAGCAGCGATTTGGTAGATTATCTTGTACCTTCTTTCCTTTTTAAGAAAGCTGTTTATATCACTGAAACTTTCAGATTTGTCAACCAGCCTCTAAGAAGATTAAAATTTATAATTGGCTTCTGGAAGTTTAGATCCCTCAATCAACTGAGACTAAGATTGAACGTGGAGAGGAACAGATGGGCAGTGCTGCAAGAGCAGCAGGAGGAAGAGGATCAGTCCTGAAGTGTTCTTCCTTTGGACCATTCATACGCATGGGGAATAACAGCAGCTCCACAGTGGACGATTTGCAGACTATTGAGATCCACCACTGGTACAAAAAATTCATGACGGAATGCCCTTCTGGACAGCTGACTGAACATGAATTTAAACAGTTCTTTGGGCTTCGAGGGCTGGATCCAGAGGCCAATGAGTACATTGAGCAGATGTTCCGCACATTTGATATGAATAAGGTGAGTTCTCCAGCAAGGAAATTAACTGTTGTGTACAGTTTAAGAGGAAAGCAGCTCTTATAACTTTTGGAGCCCTTGGTTTTCTCTTACAAACTCTAGTATGGAAATCTGTTGAGGAACACCAATATATAGTATTTAAATGCAGGAACAGATTATTTTGCATAGATAGTAACACAGATAACATAACCATAGGTGATAATACTTCATCATCTAAATGCTTTCTGCAAGTTCATCTTTGAATTTTGAGAATCCTTTACTATGTATTAATTGAATTGGTCTTGCTTGGCTAGTCTAACATTAGCACTAGCAAAATGAAGATGAGGTTGGGATCTGGAGTTCTTTTAAACCCTTTATTATTCTTCAAAAACTTATTTGTAATAGGTGTGACTGATACAGAAACCAAATTAAGCAGAAATATTTATAATATCTGCAGAGGAAGTGATTTCCAGGTACTTGGCAGCTGAAATTAATCTTGCTTGGGTAGACAATCTATATAGCTGTCCTCAGAAGTAGGCGATGTAGCATAGAGCAGCAGTTAAGAAGCGGGTAATATCATTCACTGTGACATGAAACCTCTTACTGTCTGTTGCATAAAAAATAGTATTTCCCGTAGTGCTTTCGGGAGCATGCCTCATCTCTGCCTGCATCTATCCATATATATGGAAGTCTGTGCTTGCAGGTCTGCAATGTGAACAGCAGATAAATTTGGTTTTATGGTAGCCTAGGAAAATTCAGATTTGGTCTCTGCTCCAATATCCGAAACCAGAAGGAGGATATGTCTGGGAGTTGAGGAGGACAATTTATCTGGACAAGAAATCGCAGGATCATTTGGACAACATGCACAAAGATATAAAGAGTTATGGAATGTAAATAATAGCACAGGATGTTTAAAGGTATCCAGGCCCCATTAAAGTAGCTGAGGTTTTGCGATGGATGTAATTACTGCAAATCTTAAGGATTTTTCTTCCTTTCTCTGAAGTTCTCAGTCTACAACGTTGCCCAGAATGACGATAGTCATAAGAAGGAAAATTTTACAAATCAAGCCAAATGTTTACATTGCTTGGAGAAGATTTCTCATTCTCTCTATTTTTTGAGATATTTAAGGACTTCAAAAATTATTCAAGGCTGTTATGCATTTCAAAGTGCATTTGTGAGCTTCAGACTATGCAGTAAACAATGCTTTAAGACGACTCTAAAATGCAGATTTGTTCACACTAAAATAAAAAGCTGAAATATAAAATACAGATCTGTTCACGCGAAGATAAAAAGCTCATCTATCAAATAAAGCAGGAATAATCTCAAGAGTAATTAAGTAAGTGTATGGCAGGGAGGTGGATCTGCTTCAGCTAATTTTAGCCTGTTAATAGTTAGCCACTTAATCTCAGCTCCTTTTATAATCAATGACAAGGAACAAGATCTCCCAGAAGAAGAGTCACCCTGCAGTAATATAGGTGTCTTTAAGATGGATGGGATCATCTGCCCTCTGGACCTTCAGATTCTGAGAACTCTGCTGAGGGTAAAGAGGATAATTTTTTAATAGGTGTTTTATAAATTGCCATCATGCAATGGCAGTCCTTCCCGCATTTAAAACTGCTTGGCTGTATTTTATGGCATTTTGCTCACCCTAATTATGAAAAATCTCACATAATGGGAGTACTGCCATGATTCTGAAGAAGGTACTTGAAAATACTGTAATCCTTGCTGTGCAATAGTAGTGCTCTGCTTATCCACCTACATTTGTCTTTTTCATTTGTTTCAGAAAGGCATCATTGAGGTTTGAATACCTCAATAAATGAAAGTGTAATTGCTTTATTTTGTATCTCGTTGAAGCAGTTATTCAGAATCGTCAGTGGGCATATGCAATTTATTTGTTATTTCTATTTATTTGCTTTAGATTTTAGTCCATATTAAGTCTTTCCCTCTGTATTATGAATCTTCAGTATTGCAGGAGCTTCTTGAGTTTCTTCATAAATTCAGTAAAAGTAAAAAAAATACAGAGCACTTTCTCCAGCTGGCAAACAATAGTCTGTGCCTTTTCAGAATATTTTCAAATTACAATCTATGAAGAACAAATGGACTCAATGGTCTCTAGAGGTCCCTTCCAACCTCAACGAAATCTATGACTTATTGAAAGATCAGTACTTGCCCAGAAAGACAAAAGTGGCTAGTACAGAAAACCTAAGGTGCAGATTTCTTCCGCATTTCTTGCAGCCTGGGCTCTAACAGGCCCTAGTCAACCAGCTTTGGTGGGCAGACAGGAAAGATTTATTCACACTGGCCATGAGGAGTAACAGTTTTCATTCCCCCAGGTGGTGAACACAGAGTGTTTTGGACATGCAGTAGATCAGAACTACAGAAATCCAGGTATTCTGGAGATTTTAAAGGTAGCCAAAATATAGTGTGTGCACGCTAAACAGCTGAACATGCCATTTCCAAGCTTTTATATGAAGTCAAGCCTCTGTGCCATGTATTTTGAAGGATGACAGGTTATATCTCTCTCAGCCATGAATCTAAAGAGCCAAAAGGTAAAGCACTTCCTGACTTTTCACTCCTCCACTTTGTCACAATTTGGTTTTCATTTGGCTGCAGGATGGATACATTGACTTCATGGAATATGTGGCTGCCCTCAGCCTTGTTCTCCGTGGGAAGATGGAACAGAAATTGCGGTGGTATTTCAAACTCTATGATGTAGATGGCAATGGCTGCATTGATCGTCATGAATTACTCAACATCATTAAGGTCAGTCCCCAGGGGTCTGTGTTCATTCCTTTTTCTTTAAAGATAAATGCCACCTCATGGGTGAGACTTCCACTATTTCCTGAATGGGCTGATCATAGATAATACCTGCCATAACAGCATTTTTTTTTTCATTTAGCAGAATTCCCCATAGCCACATGGTTCAGTCAGGAGGCTTGAAAGACTTTTCTACTACAGTATACCATAGAATCATAGAATCATTATGGTTGGAAAAGACCTTCAAGATCATCGAGTCCAAATATAAACCCTGCAACACCATACCTGCTAAACCATGTCCCTAAGTGCCTCATCTACATGGTTCTTCAACATGGCCAGGGATGGTGACTCCACCACTTCCCTGGGCAGCCTGTTCCAAAGCCTGACTACTCTTTCCATGTAGAAATCCATCCTAATATCTAACCTCCCCTGGAGCGACTTGAAGCCATTTCCTCTTGACTTTTTGGTAGTTATTTTGTAGAAGAGATCCACCCCTATGTTACAGCATAGATAATTCTGTAAAATTGTTTTACTCCTTCAGGACCTAAGCTGAACTTTCCAAGATTTCTGACTCCATGACTGTCAGCTGCAGTCGCTTCAATGTGTCCTTCGTAGGTCCTCCATATGCTCCTGAAGTTTCTTTTGTCCCATGTGAATCATAGAATCATTATGGTTGGAAAAGACCTTCAAGATCATAGTGATCAAATATTTCGCTCCTGTTTTATTTTTTAGAACTTGTTCCAAATGTGAGTGTACAAAATACATTTCTGACTCTCGTAAATACGTTGCAGAAGTATGACTGCCAGTAAAATACATTGAGTGTAAATAGCTGTTATGGGAGATGTTGAAATTACTTACACAAATAGGACCATGTGATTATGATCCTATTGCTGATAGGAAAGTAAGAGTGCTCTACAGAGATTGGGAAAATACAATAATGCAGGGAAGAGTCAATGACTTTAAATAATTTGCATTTCTGAATAAGGAAGGTCAGAAAATGGATTTGATGAAGATTTGAAGGTTGAGTTTTTCACAAGGAAAACCATTAACAAAACTATAGAAATGGATTCCTCATGTGGATATGAGTTTTAGTGTTGGTCATTGAAAGAGATCAGAGACAAAAAAAAGTCAATCATAGTTGTAATAATATGTAGCCTCTGGCAAAGGACTTGTAAAAGAAACAGTCAGACTTCACAGTGCAGTAAGAGCTACTAATTGCTCAACGCAAAGCTCTTGAGAAACTAGTCTTTACTGGTAATAGTGGTGGTCAATTTACTGCCTTTCAAATTCTGTTCAGTCTTCAAATTCTGTTCACACAGAGTTTAGTCCCTTTCTGGCCAGGCTTAAGAAGGCTCTGAACCATACTGACTTTTAGTAGAGGATCATCTGAGAATGAATGAACCAACTTATTCAATATCTGAAGATAAAAAGATTAAAAAAAAAATAACAGTCTTAGAATCCATATGATAGCTCTGGAACAGTGTTATTTCATGGACATCCTTAAACAAAGAAAAGAATTAGCATAGAAAAGAAAAGACCACCCTGACTATGTACTAACAGATAGAAGGGACAGCAGTGAATAACACTTAGATGTTCTTAAGTTGAAAATTAATCTCCAAGGAGCTTTAGGGAGAAGCAGGACACATAGGAAGCACATATAAATTGAAAACAGTCTGGGCAGCTTCCCATTCTTGTGCCTTTTTTTTTTTTTCCTTTTTTAGGCTATTCGAGCTATTAATGGTGGTGAGCATGAAACAAGTGCAGAAGAGTTCACCAATCGAGTTTTTAATAAAATTGATGTGAATGGAGACGGTAAGATTTCTATTTATATTATCCAAATCAGTTGATCACTCAGTGCTGCAGATGAACACACATTTTCCTTTCTTGCTTGAATTTCATGCCATTTCATTTTTTATTTGCTGGTGACATGAAGTCCCTTCCAGCAATCCATTCCCCATGTAGTTTGCTGATAGATTTTTCTCCTTGCATAACGCATAGCCAGTCTGATAGGATTAACTCCCTGGCACTAGCTCTCAGCTATGTTTTGTCCATATGAGCTTTGTAGGTTGATTTATTTTATTTTTTTCTCCTTTTGGATGTTTCTTTGTAGTTTATGTCAGGGTTAGAAGCGAGCCTGACAAACAGTTTCTCAGGTGACTTAAACTGCTCCTAAATCCTTCATCAACTGGGAAAGGAGAAATTTGCATTTTATGTTCTGAGTTATTCTACTGGATCTGCTCCAGGTTGTATGGCAGCTTCGTTAGGTGCTGTGGACTAGTGAGTCAAAAAGTGTGGATGCCACTGTAGTTACTGAATGTTCCTGAGAGTTACTGCTTTCCTGGTTACTTCACATTCTCATTGCTCTCTGTTGTTATTCCAGCAACACTCTGCTAAGTGTTCCCTGCACAGGGGCAAGCTACAATTATGTTTTTCTGCACTCCATACCTATGCTTTCTGCTTTTTTTTTCCCATTAAGCCTTTTTGGGTCAGGACAGAAAACCTTGTTCTGCCTGGCACGGTTTCTTTCTGTTAACTTCTTTTAACAGAAAATGAACAGTTATGGAGGAGGTCTACCAGTGCGGCAGGCTGGACCAGAAATAAGCAGTTTAATCCATCCTTATTATGTAGGAAGATATGATCCCTTCCTTAGCCAGATATTTCTTCTATTCTTTGTGATACACCTCTTGTAACGGAGTTGTAAGAAAGTCCTGTCTTCAGAATAGTTAAGAGTCCTATGATTTAACTCTTCCCTGGGAAAAAATATGGAAGCCAGAGTTGCAGAAATATCAGGGAAATTTCAGATAATCAAAACAAAAGCAAAACAAAACAAATTATCTGAGGCCTTTTGGTAATTCGGAGCAGTGAATCTTTAGTGAAATAGTCTCTAAAATTAGATTATGGAATTCCTTTTTCCTGTTCTGATATCTTCTGTCTGTGTCTGACACAGGTGAACTTTCACTGGATGAATTTGTGGAAGGAGCCAGGAAAGATGAGGAGTTCATGGAGGTTATGATGAAAAGTCTGGACCTGTCTCATATTGTGGCCATGATCAACAACCGGCGGCACAGCGTATAAATCAAACTAGAGAAAATGGTGTGCCAACAGACAGAAGAATGTGCACACACATGAAAAGAAAGAACAGTGTTCTTAAAAACATATGATTTTTCCAAAAACTCATATACGAAAGTAGGAACAGAAAGATATTACTGCATGAGTGTATCTGTGTGTCCCCGTACAAATGCTGACACTCAGGCACATACGTGTAGAAAAGCTGGATCTGTGTGGCACAATTTGATTTAACTTCCTAAAATGCAAAGGGCAAGTTTCAAGGCACATTTTTTTGGTTCATTCTGTGCCCTGGATAATCAGTTTGCAATCGGCTAAAGATAAGTTTATGAAGAGTGCTAGGAGAATTGGATGATGAAGTGTGAAAAATCTGTGACGTGGAAAAGAGCTTCAAATTGTTATCAATGTAGACAGCTGCCAACAGAATGTAACTTCCACTACTTTTATCACAGTATTAAATCATAAACCCCTGTGGGTTTGTTTTACCCAATGTGCTCAGATTTGACAGCCTGTAAAGAAGCAGCTTGATTTGTAAGATCTCAAAATTTGAAGGAAGTATCAATGTGTAAAACTGACAGTGCTATTCTGTTCCCTGCTACAGTGCTTACTGATACATCTGTTTCATGTCCATATGATCAAAGAACTCTGTTCCAGATAAGCAAAGAGCTGAGGAGCAGCTTCGGTAGCTACAGAAAAATGCTGCTGTTTCCTAAGGCAGAATACCTATCTGAAACATCAGGCCCTTTTTACTCTCATCCTACTGCTCTGCTCTCACACACAACTGAATAAATGACATATGTGGAGATGACCTTAAGTATTGCTGTTTCACACATTCTCCATTTGTCTATTTTATTCTTCAGAAGAAATGCTAAGAAGCAAAAGAGAACAACACAGCAAGTCAGTTTGTGAATTCTGCTGATCATATGGTTTCTGAAGTGAAGATAGTCCTCCATATTGGTCCTGCCACAAATGGCTGTGTCTTGGTACTTGCTGGGAAAAAGTGACATCATAGCATGGACAGAAACTAAGAAAACTGTGTCGTGTTCACTGACTGTAGTGAAGGTTCCAAAAATCGGAGGCTCCTCTGAATCTGGGAAGAGTGTCAGAAAGTAGGAAGATTGCAATAAAAGTTCAGTAGAGTACTTACACATGCAGAGTTGGGTAGGTTTTTCCTGTGCAGGAGGAAGCAGATAAGCACCTAGAAAAGATGACTTTAGACATTAGGAACATGGTTAATCTTGTTTATACTTAGGCTTTGGTGATAAAAGTATCTATTTTCAGCAAATGTCTAGTCTTTCATTAAAGCCAAGGGTGATCTAGGCAGCATTGTCACTGGCACTTGACAAAGTGGGTGATCTTCTTCGGAGTAGATGCCAACATTTTGCCAGAGGAATTACCCTCTAGATGCCACTGACTCTGCTGGCTAAACCTCCCTGGACTGTAATGGTAACCTAGAATCAAGTACACATCTGCAATCTTAGAGCTGCTGAGAGGAGTCACAACCTGAGTATTGGAAAACATTACTCAGTTCTCCAGAGGATTATTACTAGCATATGCTGATCGATTCTTCTTTCCCTTGGGTCTGGGGAAAGCAGAGCTTGTCTCTCAAACTCTGCTGAACGCCTGTTGCAAGTTATTACTCTCTTGCAGCTTTGTGGATCAGCTAAAAGTAAAACAGCATTTGTCATATCATCCGACCTACAGAGAAAATATAATTTTATCTTTTAGGATAGTAGAGAATTTGCCTAATTGCAGCTGGTATACTAAGGAAGTCTTCAAATAGCTGACTGAAGTGTTGCGACAAGCTGCTTATACATCCTGTAAGGGATCTTCTTGAGGCAAATCAAAGCAGCAGGGCACGTATACACTAGTCTCAATAGTAATCCTGAGTATGTGTTAGCAAGGTTTGGTGTTTTTTTTTTAACACATGCTATAGCAAAATGCCACTTCCTTAGCCACCATTGCTGATGATGCAGGAATATGTTCCAGGTAAAATACAGTCATGAGATTTGTAATGGGCAAAAATGCATCATGTCACTACAGGGAGCTGCTATTTTGTTCTTAATGTTTCTGTTCTTCTACTATTGGATGATTTCACTGTTTTCTGGCTGTACAACCACGGTGTTCTTCAAGAGACCATGCTAATAGTGTATGTGCCTTTATTGGGAGCTATGGAAGGAATCTGTGGGAAGTGGATGGTTAGGGAATCCCTGTAAAGGGGGATTTTTTTTTCTGAACTTTTTGGCTTTCTTTGTACAGTTAAGAATAAAACATGTTAAATAAAGCTATCTTCAGACTATTCTCTTTACTAGGAGAATTACGAGAAGGAGAATATACTTCAAGGCTAGGATTTGCATTCAGATTAGGGTTGAGGTAATGTTTGGAGTTAGGGTCTTAATTTTAAGGAACAGGGCTAGGATGGTGGGGATTGAAGTCAGCATTTGGAATTGGATCAAGGGGTAGGCTTCATGTTGGGGTTAGGTTTAGGAGCTTGGGTTTGGGTGGAGAAGCTAGCACCGAGGATTTGTCCCACCCTAAAGGACTATGGAAAAATTCTGCCTCACATCCACTCACAGGGCAGGGTCATGCTGACTCACATTCCCCAGTCTCAGCTCAAGCCAATGTACACTCCATGGAAATGGGCTTAAAATATCCTTAAAATCCAGATCCGGATCTTCAGCTCAGATTCCCTCTCCCTAACTCCATGAGCATTGAATGGATTTTCCTTTCTTTCTCATCCTTTGCAGGAGACTTTCTTCACTAGCAAAGATGGATTGGGAGAAGACACCTGGAGGTTGCCTGACTAGTCAGGAAACAAAGGGGAAATGCAGTTCCCAAAACATCATGGATCAGCTTGTGTCAGCTAGCTGCCTGATCTCCCTCTGATTCTCCCAGAGACTTGGAGGGGACAATCCCTGACAGTTGTTAGTGTCCTGCTCTCAGAGAGGAGCCGTGGCTCCCTGCCTCAGCAGGGA